TCTTGTGCACCTCCAGCCTTCTCAGTCGGTAGAGCATGGGAAGCTGGAAAGTCCTTGACTAGTGTAAGCACTACCTAGCAACAACTAAAACATCGGTGCGTTATCAACGTTGTTCTCACCCTAAATCCAAAACACAGCACTGTACCAGCTACTAGGAAGGAAATTAACTCTATCCCTGCTGAAACCAGGACAGTTCCAAATGGCTATTTTTGGTAAACATAATTTTTCAGGAGATTCGGGGTTGTGTGTGGCAAAACATGTCCCTCTGTTTATGTGTCCTGCTACATAAATGTCCAGTGGCAGTGATACCGAAATACTAAGGAGACATACGGCTGTTGTTCCCTACTCTCAATATTGCCATAGTAATGCTGCGATATTTAGACCTGACAGATGGGTTTAGGAATGGAAGGAGAATGCCTGTTTTCTCTAAGGGCTGTGAATGCTGACCCTTTTCTCTGTCTGCTCCTTTCCTGTGCACGCGATGAAGCCGTTTTAGTTTTCTTCCTTGTTCCTGGTCTAAATATTTCTGAAGCTGTTGCTGCTGTGGGCTTGCGATTTGTGTTGCTACGTTTTTGTGGAGTTCTAGTTATGGATCGCTTCTACTGCGGTGAAGTGTCAAGATACGGTTTTCAGTTTAAAGCTTCAGAAACTACATTCACTGAAATCGGTGTAGGTGAAACTGATCTTGCACATGCAGCTGCGCTCGCAGGGATGCTCAGCGGCTCCTCATCAAAACCGCAAGGTGCGGTGTGTGGACGTCCGCAGGGTTGTGCTCTGGGTCTGAGAGCGTTTGCTGTTGGAAGATGGAGTAGAGCATGTGCCTGTTAAATCTAAGGACAGTCAAAAGCTGGGAGGGACCCTGAGCAGGTTTGGTGGCACAACTGCAATTTTAAAAGATCTTGACCGTTCGGAGAAACGGCCTGGAAAAAAAATCATTCCTTTTTTGCAAGGAGGCAGTTCACAAGGACAGATGGGTTGCTGTACTCTTTACCAAAAATATTCAACTTGGGCCGTATAGGGTGAGGAAATCTTGGCTATACATAGGCTTGAGAAAATGTACGTAGGTATCGGCATCTGTCACCTGCGTGAAAGTTTTTCTAGTGAAACTAAAGCTGCCAACGAGTCAAAAAAAGGCACGCTTTTGTGTCTAAAAAATGCAAAAGCTCTAGTGGCCTGTATCAACAACCGTGCCAAAGACGATGCAAAACACATTTTCCTCCACTCGGTTGTAGTCTTCGCAAACCTTCACAAAAAAAGAAAGCTTTAGATTCCTACCCAGCCTTACGCTAAAGGGTTTTTTTCCTCTCGGCAGAGTGTCAACTGCCACCGTGTCACCGCGGTCGCTCTTTCTTCTGCCATGAAAGTACAAGACGGATGGAAGGATCTATAGCGGTCTGCAAGTACAAGGTACGTCTACGATGCGTGTCTGCGTTTTTCCTAAGGTGCTTGTAGTATGGACTTTAAAGTTAACATTAAGAATGTGCCAACTCTCCTTCTGTAGTTTTTCTATGAAATATTCTAACACAAATAGTAAAAATAAAATAAGGTCTGTTCTGGAGCACGTTACGCCTATGCAAAGCTTACTTCTCTCCATTTATTTTCTCTTCCTGAAAGCATAATCTTCTGTTTCTGTGCACTTACTATTAGATGATACTGTGAAACTGATTTTGTACTACAAGAGGCAAGAAACTGTTCGTAAGAGTTCAGATGCTCAGAAGAAACGGACTTTGTTTTCGTGATAAAAGCTTTACGCTTTTTGTCAATAAGTTTTTAAAATATCTTTATAGTAGTACTCAGAAACCTTGCTGAGATACTAGCGTCTGTACCAAAAGCAATCAAGGTCAAAGAAGAGACATGGACAAAACAGGACGAATCGTCGGCGCTTCTGCGTGTTTTCCAGGCTTTCCCAAGAAGCGTTAGCAGCCTTGTAACTAGCGATGGCTAGTCCTGATGCATTTTTGGTGAGTTATTGCTTCAATAATGTCCTTTTTTCTTAACCTAGAGTGTGTAATTTTTGACTTCCGTTGGAACGAGATTTTCCAGAACGGAAATCTTTCTCATTCAAAGAAGTTGCATTTTACGAACTTCCCATCAGAGCGGCTCTTCAGAGATGAGGTATTTGGCAGTAGAAGTCATCAGCAACAAGGCTTTTCACTCTCTTAAAAAAAAAAAACCCAAAAAAAAAGTAAAACCGTAGGGGGGATCTCTTACCTCACTGATTTTTCTATCATAAATGCAACTTTAAAAAGAAGTTAAAATTGTATAATTTACAAACTGACTCCATCTGGCTCCATGTCCCTATTTTTAAACCCCTCTCTCTCTGCCCTGTATTCTAGTTATGTCTTCTTTCTTAGATTCTCTCGTTCCAGGTCCCCGTCCCTACGTTTAATCTCTTCCCGCTCTGTCCCATAGCCCATTTTTGTCTTTATCGTTCTCTCCCTGTCGCTATTCTTTCATTCCTCTGTCTCTCCCCTTCAGCTCATCGAGGTTTTTTGGTATTTCTCAGTTTATCTCCGTCCACCTCGCTGTCCCCTGTTTTAATTCCTCCCTCTCTGCCCTGTGGCCTATCGCTATTCTTTGTTTTTCTCCATCTCTCTCAGTCTGGTTCCGTGTCCCTTCCTCCTCTCCGGCCTGTAGCCCGTCGCTATTTTCCCCCCCTCTGCCTCTCTCCGTGGCTCCCTTTCCCTATTTTTCAACCCCCCCCCCTCTGCCCTGTAGCCGGTCGCTGTTGTATTGGATTTACCTGGCAAGGTTTTGTTAGCTGGGGCGCGGGGGCAGGGGCTGCAGGGGTGGGGTCTGTGAGAAGACACCAGGAGTTGCTCCCATGTCGGGCACAGCCAGTTCCAGCTCCGAGACGGATCTGCTTCTGGTCAGAGCAGCCATCAGCAACGCTGGTAGCACCTTGTCGTGGTTTAACCTTAGTCGGCAACTGAGCACCACGCAGCCGCTCGCTCAGTCTGCCCCCCGCAATGGGATGAGGGAGAGAATTGGAAGAGCACAAGTGAGAAAAACTCGTGGGTTGAGATAAAAACAGTTTAATAATTGAAATAAAATGATAATATAATAATAATAAT